TATTGAGAGGTGTTGCTTTATTCCTAGCATTTAATTATTTTTTTGGTTTTCTTGAGTGATATTTGTTCCTTGTTTTCTGTTTTGCTGTTTTATTTTCTGTGTTTGTTGGTTCCTGATGTTGCAGCTAGTGTTTTTGTTTGTTTTCTTTTCATGATTGTCATTTTTATTATACTGGTGGGTTTTGATTTTGCTTGGATTATTATGGCTGTGGTAATTATCTTTCAGGGTCCAATCCCAGTACTCCCTTGAGAATTACTTGTAAGGGTGGTCGTGTGGTGATGAACTCCCGCAGTTTTTGTTTGTCTGAGAAATATACTATTTGCCCTTCATTTTGGAAGGACAGCCTTGCAGGGTAGAGTATTCTTGGTTGGCAATCTTTGTCTTTTAGTATTTTGAATATATCATCCCATTCCCTTCTAGCCTTTAGGGTTTGTGTTGAGAAGTCTGATGTTAACCTGATTGGAGCTCCTTTATAGGTTATTTGATGCTTCTCTCTTGCAGCTTTCAAGATTCTCTCTTTGTCCTTGAGTTTTGTCATTTTGACTATAATATGCCTTGGTGAAGCCCTTTTTGGGTTGAATACGTTTGGAGATCGTTGAGTTTCTTGGATCTGTAGATCTGTGGTTTTTCTTATGTCTGGGAAGTTTTCTGCCACTATTTTGTTGAATATGTTTTCAATACATTCGCCTTTTTCCTCCCCTTCTGGAATACCCATGATTCGGATATTTGAGCGCTTAAGGTTGTCTAATATCTCTCTCAGATTTTCTTTGATATCTTTGATACTTTTTTCTTTTTTCTTGTCTGCTTGTATTATTCCAAAGAGCCCATCTTCAAGAACCGAGGTTCTCTCTTCAACTTCCGTTATCCTGCTGGTTAAACTCTCCATTGTGTTTTTTATTTCGCTGAATAACTTTTTCAGTTCGGCAAGTTCTGCTATGTTTTTTTTTATGACAGTGATTTCTTTGTACATTTCCTCTTTCAGGTCCTGTATGTTTTTCCTGGTTTCATCATGTTGTCTAGCTGTGTTTTCTTGTATCTCGTTCAGTCTCTTTAGGATTAACACTTGAAATTCCCTGTCATTCATTTCAAGGGCTTCTTGTTCTATAGGATCTAGAGTTTGAGATTTATTGACTTTTGGTGGTGTATTTTCTTGGTTTTTTGCATTTCGGGTATCTCTTTTTGGGTGTTTGTTCATTTTGGCAGGGATTTTCTCTCGAATCTTGGACCTCCGATTCAATAGATGGGGTTATTGAGCCTTGCAAAGCGTTCCTGCAAGATACGGAATTGTTCTTTCTTTCTTTATTTATTTCTGAGATTCCGCCTCCTTTAGCCGGGACCCTCCCCACTCTGTGTGCTCAGGACAGGGCTAAGGCATGTCTTCTACGAACCTTGACTTTCAGTTGAGTCATCAAAGTTGTGCCCTGCCCCGCCCTGCCCAGCAGGTGTCCTGACTCTCCGACTGCCGGGAGTGAACTCCTCGGGGGAGGGTCCCTCAGCCCACAATTCCTCTTTGACTCTCCCCGGCACGGGTCGGCCCTTCTGGAGAGCTGACTAGTAAACTTCAATGTAGTTCAAGGGGTCTCCGGGCTCCCCTCTCCCCACCAGAAATCAGTTAGGGGTTCTTCCAAACTGAGGACCCCAGAGATGGAATTTGCCTCCTGGGAAGAGGGAGTTTATCTGGGGCCAACGCCCAGGGTGTGGCGGAGAGACATCTGGGCGGGCTCCTCTTCCCTGCCCCCCCGATGCTGGCCGGGGGCTCCCCACGCTACCAGCCCCGTCTGAGATCCACGGGGAGAGTGGGATTGTAGGCCGGTCCACAGGCCCCGGGGTGCCCCGCGTCGAGGTAAGCAAATGGCACGTCTCAGTGCGGAGCCGAGCAGAGATGGCTGGCCTGACCTCACTAAGCCGGACGTCTCCGCCCCCACCCGAGAACCTGGAGGCAGCTCTGTTGTGGGCGCCTAGCCTGGTGTGGTAGGCGGGAGCCAAGGCGGGCGGGGAGCAGTTGGGCTTCGCCCCGCAAGTGGGGCTGGGCTGGGGGTGACTCACAGAGCTCGCAGAGTTGGGCCGGTCCGGCGTGTTTCACTCCGTTTCTGCGCCGGTTCTGCTGGCTTTCTTGGCCTTTGTTGTCTGGGCTGATCGCTCGTTCCCGCAGGAGGGCTTGGGTGCTCTCAGGAGTCCTCTTCTGTGTCGGCCCCAAAACCTCGAACCTGCTGCCGCTTGTTTGTCGATGTAGGATCGTTGTTGAAAGAATTATTCGCCTTTTGTTGCTCTTGGAAATGCAATTAATACTCTGGTGTCACAGCACACACTTCTCAGGATTGCGCTGTCTCCTGGCACGGCCGCTCCAGACCCGTCGCCATCTTAAGTCTCGGGCAAAGTGCAGGCTGGCTGTGGAGAGAGCTGCAGCAGCCGCCTTTGCACTCTCTTAATGGTATCTTTTGATGAATAGATGTTCTTAATTTTAACACAGCTAAATTAATTCATCTTTTTATGACTGGTGCTTTTTTTAATCCCTTCCCTAACAATATGGAATTATTAACTGATGTCTCAAACACTGTAATTGAATATACACTCTTTAATCAGATCCATATATTTTCTTTCCTTCTTTTCTTTTGCTTTTTTTTCCTGATAAATTTTTTAAAAGAAAGATGTACTGGATACATATTTTTTTCAAGATTGCAAACAATAAATTCATTAGTTGCATAAAATACAGCTAATTCAGAACACAGGAAATTAAAATATTCACACAGAAATTATTTTCTTTTCCTTTTTTTTGGTTTTGATGGCTGGCCAGTAAGGGGATTGAAACCTTTGACCTTGGTGCTATCAGCACCACACTCTAACCAAGTGAGCTAAATGAACAGCCCAGAAGTTATTTTCATAGAGATCTTTATATTTGATTTTTCAGGGTAATAAAATCATTGTTATCAAGAAAACTTAGAGTAAGCTTCCATTTTCCTAGAATACAATCAGATAATATAGCTACTATTTTTAAACAATATTGTAGAGCACTAACTAATGTTCAAAATTAGTGCCTAAGGAATTGTAAGATCTCCCAAAGATTATCTTACATTCAAAATATCTGTGTTAATATGCAAATAATAAAGTTTTAGACACTAGTAATTCATTTCTGGTAGCTATGATAATTCTTGGTTAACCAGATTGTTCAAATAACCAGAACATTTCCATTCTCTGTCCAATCTGGGCAAATGTGACTTTATTCTAGAAGAATGAATATATGCTCAACATCTGGTCCTAGATCCATCTGTGCTAATTATACATTTTTCCTTCCTCGCTGCCCAAGAAACTCTAGGAGAGCATTATTGTTTATTTTTCATATACATTTGATTTATAAATTCAATTTGTACATGATTATTTGTATTATTCTGTAGGACTAATTATTAATCAGCACCTTCATAGAACCTAGCATACGGTAGATACACAAATGTTAATAAACAAACTGAATGGCAAAAATCTAACCTGAAAAAAGAATAAGTTCCATCTATTAACAGAACAATTTCTATCACTTGATCATTAAAATTCACTACAAAACCTTTCTCCTCAGCAACAAAGTTAACCTCAACACAGGACTTGTAAATACTCACTTTCTCTCCTTTCAGGCTCATTTTGTTCCAGACCATAAGCTCCTGATTGATTCAGCTGCCACTGTAAGAGGAAACAAACATTTTATTTATATGCTTAAAAAGGATTTAATAAATAGCATTTCAGCACTCTGCTTTTAAATATCAAAAAAGCTTTAAAATAATACAAGAAAATGGAGTTAGCAAGACCACATCAACAAAGCCCTAATAATGTCAACCTGAGTGATCCTGAATGATAGGACTTCTGGGATCAGAATCAATATTCTTAGAGAAGGAAGGGACCTTAAAGATCCTCTGCATTGATTTCAGAGGTAAGGAAGTGGAAGACCAGAGAATTACAGTGACTTGACCCAGGTTACACACTAACTAAAGGCAGTGCTAGAACTAGAATCTGGGCCTGCCCATGCCCAGTACTATGGAATTTCTACCAGGTCATATTCTATCTCCAGGTCCTACAGAATTTTACAATAGCTAGAGAAGGCCTAGATATTAAAGAATAAAATATGACCAAGATTACCTTGTCTTTTAATATGGTTACATCACATAAGTTATTATTTACATAATGTTATGTCATTCTATATCATATCATATCCTATATCATATATCACTTCTGATTACAGTTTTCCATCTCAACCATTCAAAAAGAAACAGGGAAGCCTAAAGATTCTCAGATATTATACAGAAGACTAGAGCAGCAGAAAAGAAAATGGAGTGTAATCAGTATCTCACAGCACAGTCCTTCCTTTCTTACCTGGCTAGATTCTCCATCACAATCACTCATGGCTTAACAAAAGAGTGCTAGGGCACTATCTCCAGAAAGACACAATTAAGTACAAATTACCTGGGAGCCTCTTCCACAAGCATCAATTAGTTCATCAGATTAACTAGTTAACATCTTGAGCCTTGAGGGGGGATGAGATACAAGACAAACATTTTACCATGTATAAAAAGTCCTTACAAGAGAAGACATCTAGAAATGGTTGGTCATTTATAGAAATGTGATGGTTACAGTTAGCATCAAGAAAGAGAAAGGACTTAGAAGGGGTGGGAAGTTACATAAGAAATTACACACACACACGCACACAAAAGACATGTTTTGAAACATGTTAAACCACTACAATCTATTAATTTGGGCAAACAAAGTAAAAACCAGTAACCCTGAATTTATGTTCAAGATTATTCACAAAAAGGCTTTTTATAAGTGTAAAAAATGAGAAACAATCTAGGTGTCCAACAACAGGAGAATGGTTAAATAAGTTAGGTCTATAGGTTGGAATATTGTATAATTATTAAAATAATTTTTGAAGAAAACGGAAAATACAGAAATATGTTAGTAGTGGTACCTATGAGTTGTGGGATAATATATGTTCTTTTTTATTCTCTGTCTTCTAAAATAAGTATATATTACTTTCATAATTTCAAAAAAAGTAATACAACCTAATAGAAAAAAATCCACACAAATTAAATAGAAAAAAAAAAAGAAAAAGAAGAACTGAATGAATGGATATACACTGGTAAAATCTATTCTTGAAAATAGCGTTATCCAGCCCTAGCTTAGTTTTTGACAATACCATAGAACTAGTTATCTCAAGGTCTATGGTAATATATCAAAAAGAAAAGCAAAAATCTTTCCAACAGAATAAATTTCAATTTAGCTTAATCTTAAAAACGAGTATCAAATTTATTGATACTCTTACACTACTTTTGATGGTCTAAAAGTAACAGTATAATTATTACTGAAGTTAAAATTTAAGACAAATATTAGTTCATGTTAATTACTGGTATTTATAAAACTAGGTGTTCAGCTAACCATTTATATAATATTTCAAGCCATGACAGATGAGGGCAAGGATAAGAAGGGAAAGAACTAATCTGCATCAGAAGAGAACAGAGAAAAGCCACGAGAACGTCTTTTCTCTCGAATGTGTCCTGGACTGAGGGTGCTCCTGCGCAAGCCTGGTCCAAACAGGCCTTTCTGTTTCCCATCTCTGTCCTAGGGCCTCCGTTTGTCTGTCTTCCTGCCTCCCTCTGCTTCTCTTGCCCTATCTTAAAGGCTCTTCTGATCTCTTCATTCTCTTTACAATTGAAAAGCTACTAAAATCGAGTAGTAAGCAAGATATTTCAGAATTTGCCATAATGCATCAGTCACAGTCCTGAAGAGCTAGGTCACTTAATCTTTATGAAGAGAATTTAAAAAACCTATTTCTTCACATTCTTTAGGAGGAATGAAGAGACAGAAAACAAAAACACAAAACTGGAAGAGCTAGTGATTTCTCTGACTAACTGGATGTAAGCTTTTATTTAGTTTTACAAGAGAGGCACCTTTCCCATCTCTCCCTTCTTTCAGTGCCACATCACCCCCCCCGCTTTGAAAACTGTGCTAAACTTTAAATAAAACAATTAGAAATAAAACCAAAAATATGTGACAAAATTTAAATGGTAAAAATTTATGATACTTCATATACACACAGAAATTGGATAGTATATTTCTATATTCAAAATTTTAGATATATGTATATATGAATGTTCTATTCACTCTGGACTCAAACTGATATATATAAAAAGAATGTAAAGCTGAAATTCATAAATAGTTCTGTTATATGCTTTTTCTATCCACTGCAAATTCTAGTATGTAAATCTTACATTAAGTGCCAGGATTAAATCATTAGATGTCATAAAAAACAATGGATGATGCTGGACAGGGTCCCTTTGCTATATAGAACATTACTGGGGCAACTGGTGAATGTTGATTAGAACTGTGGGTTAATGGCACTAATGTATCAATGTTAATTTCTTCAATTTGTGGTTTTACTGTGGTTATGTGGTTATTCCTCATTTGAGGAAATAGAAGGCAATCTGGTATCATGTCAACAACTTCTGGAAAAAAATTTCTTCGTAGTGTTTTTGCAACTTTTATATATTTGTGGGATGTTTCAAAATAAAGTTTTTAAAAACCTAGATACTAAAGAAGATAAAGTTTTGAGTTTTCCATGAACTACCTCAGTACTTTTTAAAAAAATATCAAATATGAAATTCTAGTTTTTTCTGATTTTTATCATGAGAAATGTGTGTGTGTTTATGTGTGTGTCATCTTCCTGTCTTTTGGGTAATAATAAACTATTTTCACCTTTATCCAATCCAGAAAGGCAGGTGAAGGAAGGGAGGTGGGTCAGAGATTATCTTTCATCAGTCACCAGATGGCACCAAAGGGCCCACTGGCTCAAGAGTATGTAAGGTCAATGTACGACTTTCTACAGAGCTGTAAATTCATAATTTGGCAGAGATCCTTAGCTGAACATTTGTAGCTAGGTAAGTGCTTTCACATAAAAATAAACTCAGTGATAATAACTTGTTGAAACTCTTAAAATGGTGGAAATCACTAATTTACAATATAGAGCTGGGTACTTAACATAATAGAAAGTACACTGTGCAAAAATGTGTATCTACTTACTGTAAATTTGCTAACACCCTCAAGTTCCCTAAATCTCATGTAAGAGATGTCTGCCTTCTTTTTTCCAACGTCAACGTCCCCTGCATAGATTTGTTTTATGCCTGCACCTTTAATTAAAGGTACACACTCATCACAAGGGCACTTTGTCACAAAAATCATGCTTCTTTCTTCCGCTTTTATTTCTTGACACCTACAAAAAAATTATAAAATATTAGGGAGGTAGTTTCTGAAATGGTAAGTTCTTTTTCAGAGAAATCTTTAAAATTAAAATTAAAATTGAACTGTTTTAAAAACAGATTTATGTTATAAACAATAATCATTAAGCCTTATTCTTCCTGAATTAGTAAATGTTCAAAATATATAAACCCATAAAATGTTACAATACCACCTGAACAAGACGTTATAACTAAAATTCATTTACTGATTCTAAGCCATTGGCGAGAGGTTCAGTATAAGATTACAAAATAGATGAAAACAGAAAGAGACAGACACCAACAAGAAAGAGAGAAAGATAAAAAAGAGAAGACAATGCTTTCTAAGTAAGCAAGCACCTCTTTTTAATACTGGAATTAGTGCTTAAAAATAACCCATGTCTTAAAAGCTAACCATGTCTGCTTAGACATTAACACATCATGGCAGCCAAAAGACCTACCCCTATCTGGTACCTAAAGGATATTTAATAAATGTTTACTAAATGAATAAATTAATACTAAAATTCTGTTTTGAATTTTAGTTCCCTTATCCATTCCCTATCATAGGATAATTTTATTTAACAAATGTTTGAATTTGACATATTCATACTGCTGTACAAAATAAAGCAAGTAAATATGTAGTAATGAAGAGGACAAGGACAAGAATGGACTTTTGGTGAAATTTTGCATGCTGGGGGGTAGTTTAGGTCTAAGGGCTGCTCTCATCTGAGGCAACAGGGATTGTTCTTCCAGGTTCTGTGGATTATACTGCTCCTAGCCAGTGTCTTCAGTTCCCCCACTGCCAGCATTCTGTATCCATCTCCCTAGTTCAGACCCTCATTTCTGTTCACGTGGACTAAGGCAACAGAATTCTGTACACATAGTCTGTTCAGATAATACACCTGCTACCTAAGAGATGTCTAGAGGGTGGCTCTGTCAATGCCATTCCATTTCCCCACTGCCTACCAAGGAGTCTAACCTCCAAGTCCTGTTGTCCAGTCCCTGCCTAACTCATGAGCTGCATTTTCCATGTGTCCACATTCCAGCCTGACCGGAATATTCATGGTCCTAAACACGCAAGGGATTTTCCTACTGTAGACTGATGCTTATGCTAGAAGCAAGAATAGCCTTTTTTCCTTCCCTTCCTGGAAGCATCTTCAAATGCCGCAGTCCTAGCAATCTTTTAAAGCTCAGCTCAAGTGCCAGCTCTTCCATCAGCTTTTCCCTTGTACTCTGCCTCTTGCCTGCATGTATGTCCACAGCACTTGGTGTTTGCCTCTTCTGCAGAATCCATCGCATGAGGTGGATGCCATCTTATATCTGCTACTGCATTAGAAGCTCCCAAGGACAGAAACCATGTCTTATCAGGTTTTTAATCCCCTAACTTCACCTCCTTGATGGTAAACTCTGAGAAGGGTTTGTGGAAATGACCTAAATTAACATTACAAGGAGGTAATGCCAGTTATGATCTCTAACAAAAGCTCGTTACAAGCAATTTAGTTCATAATTAAGTCTATATATCCGTACAGTAAACAAAGGAGATCTTAATGTCCAGAAATATGAGAGGCTGAGCAAGACCCTAAAGGACAAACTTCAAGCAGTCGCATACTGAAATGAGAGGTGGGAAAAAAAAAAGACTTGCTCAGTAAATTGGAAGGCTTGGAGAATCCATGACAGTGGCCTCAGGTCTAGCAGCAAAGTTATACTTCTGAAAAAAATATTTCTTGGAATTTGAAAAAGGAAATAAATTACAACTAAAAGAAAACTTATTTTGACTAACCTTGCTACATTTTAAAGAAAAATACCTTAAAAGCATTTCATACCTAAATGTCAAGGCATTTTGTTCTGCATGTATGATGTATCTGAATTTCCTTATTTCTCTGTCCTTCTGCTTGTCGTCCATGTGTGGGAAGTCAGCATACTCAGATCCAACAGGAAAAGCATTATAACCACATCCTATGAAGTACATAGCGCCTGTTCCATCACAACTTCTCTATGGAAAAGAACAAACCAACAATGGTTAGCTTCAACCTTCTGAAAAGGCACTTTGCAATGTATTTTTAAAGCTTGCTGTCATACTTTGTAAAATGAATATTTATCTAATTTTCTAAAACAAACTGAGCCATCAAAAAAAATACAGTGTTAGATCCTTCTACTGCAGGGAGGTCTTGCCAAAGCTAAATTCCAAGAAGGCTAACCAGCTTTCTGTCTATGATCTCAAGTCAGTCCTTGGTTTTAGCAGTTAATTAAATACTACCTTGTTTAATTCAAAAATTGTTTCACTTGATTCAGATATTTCTCCCCAAATAGATCCTGGAGAGCAGAAACCATGTTTTTATACTTTTCTATTCCTTTAAGTACACATGTTAGAATGTTACATACATAGCAGGTACTCAGTAAGTGGTCGTTAATTATGCTTACATGCTCTGTGCTGTACTACTCATTAACAAGTTAGAAATTTTAAAAACACTTCGAGCAATTTCTGTTGGGTTAAAAATGTGTTATTGTGTATAGGCCAGCTGCAAAAAAAAATAAAAAAGTGCTATCATTATTTAGTTGTAAAATAAAATCATACTTTCTGTTAATTTTCAATACTTATTGAATCTCTGTTCTATGTGTGTGTGTGTGTGTGTGTGTATTTTTATTATACATACATATGGGGTACAACGTTGATTTTCAATAATTATGTAGAATGTGTGGTGGTTAGATCAATAATCAGCTTATTCATCATTACAATATGCAGTCATTCTTTGTGTCCGTTGACCATCTATGTATATATTGTCATAGAACTTCTTACTTCAGTGGCTCTTTCTTATTTCTCTTGGTCAATGGCATACTAGTTGTTAATATAAATGCTTTATCAGTTATTAGAATGAAATATTTTACCAATAATAAGTGTTTATAATAGCTTGGAATATACTGTAAATGTCATTAAATTTCAACATATTATAATTACTCAAGTGATAATATCACAGACTACTGTAGCAGCTTAATAAAAATCATTGTGTTATGTAAGCCAACAGAAGCTTGCAAATAAAATGTTATCTCATTAATAAATCTTTTTTTTTTTTTTTTATAAAGATGACTGGTAAGGGGATCTCAACCCTTGGCTTGGTGGTGTCAGCACCACGCTCAGCCAGTGAGCAAACCAGCCATCCCTATATAGGATCCGAACCCGTGGCCTTGGTGTTATCAGCACCGCACTCTACCGAGTGAGCCACGGGCCAGCCTTCATTAATAAATCTTCTTGAGCATTTACTAAATGTCAAACACCATGCTGAGTTTTATATGCATTATTCATTTGGTCATTCCTCAAAATAACCTAGAGAGTAGTACTGTTATTATCCCCATTTTACAGATAAGGAAACTGAGGCTGAGAGATATTAAACAACTTATCTAGGGTCACAAAGCTAGTTAGTAACATAGCCAGAATTTAAGTCCAGGCTGCTTGATTCCAAACCCACATCTTTTCACTGTACCATGCTGCATGTCTCCACTAGAGATAACTGGAAACTTAAATTCTCCACAGAGTAGTTAAGAACCAGATGTTGAGCCAAAGGGCTGCTGAGCATTCCTATAAATGCAAAAGAGAATTTGTCGTGTTCCAACCACAGCCCAGTCCTCTGCTAGGTGCTGATAATGCCGCTGTAAACACAGAGTCTCTGCCTTCATGATCCTTATAATCTAGACAGGGTAGGAAACTGGACACATAACTTTATGATGGGTTTCACAAATGAGTTGTACAGAATGCTATGGGAATTTTTGGCAGAGGAACCTATTCTAGTCGGAGTTAACAGTTGGGGTAGAGATAAGTAGAGTCAAAAGGTATTTTGAAAGTGGAATCCACAGCTGCAGGTGACCGACCGTACGTGTGGAGTAACAGGGAATGAGATGGTGACCACTGACCAAGTAGTAGGTTAGCAGGGACAATCTGGATGTACTGATGAGGATGAACTTGAGGGGCTTATGAAACCAAACAAACAGCCAAATTACTTGTGGTAAAGTCTGTTGAAGCAAAATGTAGGCTCATATTTCAGTCAGCTACATAGTTACTAAATGTCTCTTGATCTGTGCCCTCATAACCCATCCCCACAACTCCAAGTCCTCATCACCTCTTTTTTATTAATCTCCCTATTTCTGTCTTGCCCCACTTAATTTTTCTTATAATGTAAATCTGATAAAACCATTTTCCCACTTAAAATATTCTTGTACTGCAATGTCCAATACAGTAGCTGCTAGCCACATGTGCTTAATCTAAACTGAGAGGTCTTTATAAGTGTAAAATACATACAGGATTTTGAAGACTTAATATGAAAAATGCAGAATATTTTATTAATAATTTTTGTATTGATTACATGTTAAAATGATATTTTTAGGCATATCAGAATAAAATATATTCTTAAAATTAATTCACCTGTTTCTTTTTACTTTTTAAAAGTAACTCCTAGAAATTATGCCTTTTATTTCTACTAGTTAGTGCCATACTAGGGTATGCCACTGCCTAAAGGATAAAGTCCAAGTTCTTTACATGACGTACAATGTTCTTCATGGTCCAGTCCAATTTTTGCCCACTCTACTCTACACAGGACGTTGGACTCCAACATGCCACGTTCACCTACATCTTCCCACGTTTTCTCTCTAGCCCTCTACCTTTGCATGTATCCTCCTCATCCTACTGACTGCTCTGTTTGATGAACTCCTACTCATTCTTTAAGAGCATGTTACCACCTCCAAGAATGTTTCACTCACTTCTCCACGCACAGTAGTTTCCTCCTCTATGTTCTCACGGTATCAGTCATAATTACACTTACGTACCCATCTCTTTTTTACTTCTCTGACTCCATCACTAGAGAAAGAGGCCATGAAAGGCAGAAAATGTGATCTTTAAATACCCAGTGTTCACTGTGGCACAGTGCCTAACCTGTAGAAGGTGTTTAATAAATGTTTGCTGAATGAATGACTCTATCTAGAAAACTGTTGAGGGAATGAGAAAATGTTTATTGAACTTAATAAATTAATCTCAACAGGTCAATAAATGACTGAACTATGTTTAAACAAAATCCAGGTTAAATATTTGAAGAATTATTTTCATACTTACAGATTTCCCTTCTGCCCAAATAACTGCTCCAACTCCTGTTTTATGATCCTCTGAAAGATATATGGCATTTAAGTCAGTTAACATCAATGATCTGTTAGTTTCAGAAATACATTTTTCCAAAAATAAAACACATTTATTGAAACATACTTCATAAATGTAGCAGCAATCCTTGACATCGTCAGTAATTACAGAAAAGTATTAAAATAAATACTTTTAAGTATGGACTATGGGAGCTAGGTACCAAATAGCTAGACAGGGTCATTACCAACCCAGTCACACATCAGGTATATGTGGAGACCTCTAAAATGGCGGTGCCCAGAATCAGGTCCCTTCAAAGCTATAACCAGAACTGAGAGCAACCTCATCAATTCTCTACTAACAAGTCTGTTTCTAAATAACGACTTCCAATAGATGATGAAATTGAATAAGAAAATTTTTTTCTAAACTAATAGATTTAGTGTAATAACCACTCACAACAATCAAATTTGTCCTCTCCTAGTATTTTTTACACTCTAACAATGGAAATTACATTTTATAGAAATGTTCTTGCTAAGAAAAAACTTAACAAACTTCTAATACCCTAGGGCATTTTCATACTGGTGAGGATTAAGTGAAACTATGGCTTCACCCTATGATTGTTTCCAATGATAACATATTTAAATACTTAGCTTTCCAGAAAAATAAAAAGAAAATTTGTGCCACTATTGCGTTAAAAACTAGGATGCCTTAAAGATAAGTTAAAGAAAAAGTGATGATAATGTAATAAAATTCCCCATCGCCAGCTCAAGGAAGCTCAGGTTTTCAAAATTATACCACAAAGCATTTTCATAATTTATGTTAAGCACTTTTTATCTGTGATGTCATTTTCACCCTAAAGGTAAAGCAGGTAAAATTTCCATTTCTAGTTGAGAAAGCAGGCAGAGAAATTAAGTGATTAAATTTAGCCCTCCAGACCCAACCTACCTGCCTTTCCTCCTCTGCTCCCCCTGACATTAAGATTTCCTTAACAAAGATTTCCATTTATCGCCTCGTATGTGCCAAGTACTGTAAGAGGCTGAGTATCAGTGGACAGGGAAATATAAGTCCCCATCCTCATGCAACTTATAGTAAGATGGGGAGGAGGACATGACAAGAAAACACACATGTATGTGTGTGCTGTGCTTGGAAGGATGTGAAGATGATGCTGAAGGGTAGAGTATACAGGAAAAGGGATTTTGGTGTAAACAAAATTTTGTTCCTTCCTGGACCTTTAGATGGCTTTATGCTCATTTCTAAGGAAAGCGGCAGAAATTAATAAACATAAGCTTATATTTGCCTACAAAACCAAAACCTGTCCTGTAACTAAAGTTCTTAATACATGCATAAATCTAAAATGAAAAACTAATGTAGAAATTCTTCATAGTAAGAGTCCACTTTTCCTACCATAAACACTAAATATTTTTCATGTTATGTTTTGTAGTCTCAGGAGCCACTTTTTCTGTTTCAGCCTAGGAACAGACTAAACCTTGTCAGGAGGGGGAAAATGTGATTTTTCTGTCAGCATGCAGCTCTACTGCCAGCTAAGGTTAGTTACACCAAGACAATACTCATTACTACCTGTTTTTTCAAATAGAAACAAATTCTCATCCATGTAACATGGAGTCAATTTCATCTAACCCCAAGGCTGGTGACAGATGAAGTAATTTCTCAAAAATCTTTTCATGTCTTTAATTTTTACAGAAATTGCTCCCCCTGGTCTGGTCACTTACAGGGTTTTCTCTGTGCAACTTTGAAGAAATGGTCAACTTATGATCATTGAGCCAAATCCCTGGGGCTCTTTGATCACTGAAAGTCAGAGGAGAATTTTTTGTCCTACAGTTGTGGAACACAGGCATGGTTATGTTAGCTTCTAATCCTGTGGTCACATCAGTGCTTATCCAAGTGTGCCCCACTGATCACTTGCATCAAAATCGCTGGATGCTTGTCAAAAAGGCAGTCTCCCGGCTTCCATGGAGATCCCCTGAACCAACCTTTCCAAAGGAGGCTGGCACATTTTGCACAAGCTCCCCTTCTGATTCTTAGGCATACTAAAATTTGAGAACCACTGAGTTATGGTCTAAAACAGTTAACTTTCTTGGCTACTCCAGCCTATTTTCATCATCAACACTTCCAGGAGGAAGGCATAATCTTTAGCTTCAGAAAACACCTAGTCTAATGGGAAAACTGGACTCAAAAAGAGTTCAAAACTCAGTACTTAAAAGAGGTCAATAAGATGTGATGCCCTCCTACCCTGTTTTCCTCCAAGAGTACAAATGCATTTTGTCATTTTTTTGCTACCTCTAGGTATCCTAGAAACATACTTTTAATGACAACCCTGTGGATCCTCTTTATTCATAATTCAAAAAGCAATAATTAAGCACCTACTTTCAATTCATTTTATAAGTCTGTTGTTAGAGGTTTTGGAATTCATTTTAATCATATGTATATTTCTAAATGAAATGGTTTAATAAAATGGCATCTTCATATATTGATTAGGGAGAAATAAAGTCATCAAAACCAAATGGAATACTGTGCAATTAAAAGCTTGGGTAATTGAAAGCACACTATTATCATGGGGATATCCGCTATGCTGGATTGTCCTGTTAAATGAGATACAAATATAAATCACCTAGTTCAGTGCCTAACACATACTAGGAGCTCAATAAATTATCACTGTTACTTATCATCAGTGAAGACTTCCAGGTTCAGAATCCCTTATCTGAAATCCCTTATTAAAAAGTTTTTTCGACAGTTTGATGCATTTATTTTGTGGCCAAACCTGACTCAAATTGAGTAATTTATAGTTCTTAATTATTCTGCTTAGTGCACATATTTGTACATTTTTATCCCATATGTATTAATGTATTTGACTCCAGGGTACTGTCCCACAGGGAGTCCTACATAACAGTAATATGCAGTATGTATATGCACCCTTATTACCTTTTCAAAATCTGAAAAATTCTGAATTTCTTTTCATAAGGGATTGTAGACCATTTATCTTTGGATATAAAAAGATTTTCTTTTATCCATTCAACACATTGTGTATAGTGCTAAGAAAAACAAAAATGATGATTAAGATAGGGTCTTTTCCCTGGGAGAGCTCTCCATGGAGTAGAGTGAGTGATGGTAAGAGATGCATCTTATTTAGGATTTGAGTTCCAGTCAAAAAAATCATCCACAGTCAAAAAATTAACTTCAAAAAAACTTTTAAATTGCCCATCAAGTGCATAAGCATAGTTTTATGTACAAGACTCTGCACAGTAATAATAAATTTATAATATAAAACTATACAGTAGTATAGACTAATATATATACAAGTTTATATCTATACATACTGCATCTTTAAACACTGGGATCACAGATGGTATAACAAGGTGTTCTCCTATGAGAAGCAAGAGGTACTGAGATCAAGGAAAAGAATGGCAGATTCAAATGTCCCATCTTACTCTGGAACATAGGTAGGGATCTGCTGAATTCTAATTACTGAAGGAATTAGTGAATTATATCTATACAGCTATTCCCATTTACGTATTTTGTCTTTCGAGAATGGTTTACAGAAAAATTCTCTACAAAGCTGGTGTTGGCAGAGATTAACATAGAACCCATGACACAAGATCATTACATTAAACAGGATATTAAATTCTTTTAAAATAATTGCGTGTGGGCCGGCCCGTGGCTCACTTGGGAGAGTGTGGTGCTGATAACACCAAGGCCATGGGTTCGGATCCCATATGGGGATGGCCGGTTTGCTCACTGGGTGAGCATGTTGCTGACAACACCAAGTCAAGGGTTAAGATCCCCTTACCGGTCATCTTTAAAAAAAATAAAATAATAATAATAATTGCGTGATTATCAACCCTGCTGAACATCAGAATAACTTGCAGAACTTCTTACAAAACATAGGCCTAGGGCCGGCCCGGTGGCGCACTGGATAAGTGCGCTGCTTGGGAAGCGTGGCGGCGCTCCCGCCCGAGGGTTCGGATCCCACATACAGACCGGTTCCCGCTCACTGGCTGAGCGAG